AAATGTCAGTTTAAAGTATGTATGGTAAATGACTTTAAAAACAAAGGTTTAAAGTGACGAAACAACAAATCAATGGGTAACTTGAACATATTTTGAAAGTTATAGAGCAGTGAAACGGATAGTGTTGAGGGAATATTACTAAAACACATGTACCCAGTTTCATATTTATTATCATTTTAGTAGTTTTTTCTGCAAATATTTACAAAACACCTTTGTATGAAGTTTACAATGAAATTCAAATCTAATGAGAATTAAGGTTTTCAAATTTGTTTTACACAATGTACGAAAAGGTAAGAAAACCTTGCAAATATCACCTGCTTACAATGTTTCTTTTGTTTTGATCTTTATATGTATTTGTTAACTTTTTTCAAATATAAGTATAGATATCCTTCCGTACAGTAAACTTATTGCACTCAAGATACAATTCTTACAAATTCGAATTTTGTTCTAATTTTATACCTTTAATTATAAACAGTTCATTATGCGAGTGTAATAGTGTGTAATTTCTTTAATATATTGTCATAAAGACTAAATGGCATAAATATTTCCTTCTAGAAACCGCAGCTTGTCTTTCAATCGATTCACTTAGTCATTCAAAAAGAACGAAAAGACGAAATGAGATTTGCACTGAGCCAACCATGATCCTAACAACTCTTTCGGCTTTAAATCTTTGTCAAGATTGTGTAGAAGAGCTCACAATTCAAGCCAGGGAACATCAAAGCATTGATATTACCTTCATATATTGGGACACAAATTGTCAAAATGGTAAGTATATTCAAATCCTACCAACTTCAGATATATTTTTATTCTATAAATTATAAATTAGGGCTTATTTAATGCTATTTTTATGGAATACTTGTGTAATGTAATGTAATGTAATGTAATGTAATTATGACCACCTATCAATCATGCATGTCGGATATTTATTTAACATATTTCAATGAAATGAGCGGATACCTATTGTTATACAATTTTAATAAAAATATTAGTTTCTTAGTAACGAGCCTTCTAGTTTATAGTGTAGAAACAGTGTAGCGGAGAGACTGAAGTACAAAACTGGTAACAAATAAATCTCAACAATGTTAACAATCAACATTTTTTGTCCTACTCGACTGATCATGACTGTAATACAAATATTTAGGAAATTCTGTTGGTCTACGCTTTTAATACGAATGAGACCTTGTCAAATAATTCAAATAGAACAAATGATACGAATACATCATGTTTAAGGTATAAAATTTCTACATCTGGAAATCTCGACAGATGACCAAGTGCGGGTTCGATCGATTTACATTTCAACAAATATGTGTGTGTATGTTGCTTCCTTTTTATACTTAAATCTTATTCATTTCCTTCCTTCAAGTCGGTTCACATGAGGTCAATCAATGAGTTGATAAAATTCTTTTGCTATGTTCTAGTCTAATCTATCCTTCTTTCTCTTTTGTTCAAAATTGCGCTACTTAAAGGAAATATTTTAACTTAGCCAAAGGTAAACATTCTTCCCCTGATCTATGCCTGAGACTTGAAATTAAGGCGTAGTGGCAAAATCGTTTGTCATATATTCAGGCACTACGACGCTTTATAGTTCGATTGGATGATTTTTGACGGAGCACTAAGTGACAATTCGACAAATCTCTCAAGTTTTGAGATCATGAAGTTTATAATATGAATGTTATCTTAACTGGGCCAAACAGAATTAAGACACCGAACAAGTTAAAATCTATCGATAGCTGAACATTATAGTTACGGTTTAACTGATTTTGTAATGATGCATTTTTGTTTGAAGGCAACTTAAATATTGTCCTTGCTTTAACACCACTAGCGTAAGTTGCATTCAAGAATTTCACAATCAAAGTGTTTTCTCGAAAACCCGTATAACAACGAACTTTATCTGAAGCTGTATCTTTGTGAAACGTGTATGGGTTTAGCACGGATTAAGATAATAATAAATACAGCAGGACATTGAAATTTTACCAAATGTATCATCGACTTCCATGCTGGCTAGACATTTAGCAGGGCAAAAAAAGGACATTGAAACTTTGTCAAAACGCCTGCTGACACGACATTTGGCAGGACATTAAATAGAACATTTAAGAAATTACCGAATGTTGAGCCGGCAGGGGATTTGAAAAAAAATCAATTTCCTCCTGTGTGTCCAGCCAAAGGTCCTGCCTGCAGAATATTGCTAAAATTTCGATGTCCTCCTGATAGTCCTGCCAAAGTTCGTTCTAGCAGAATTGTCGGTCAAATTCCTGTCCTGCTGAATTTCCTGCTAAATGTCATGCCAGCATGGAATTCGGTAGGATTTAAGATTCCAAATAAAAAAATGTTTCCGTCTTCATACCCCATTCAATTGCGTTTTTCGTCTCCAGATCACCTTGAATTATGTCTATGTCTCCTAGTCATTTTCAATTGGGTCTTCGTCTCTATACCAATTTCAATTGTGTTTCCGTCAACAGACCGCCTGGAAGTGAGTTTCTGTTTCCAATCTACCTTTGATTGTGTTCAGTCTACTGACCACCTTTAATTGTATTGTTTCTCCGTCTCCAGGCAAACTTCGATTGTGTTTCCGTCTCCAGACTACATACAATTGGCTCTCTGTCCCCTGACCACCTTCAATTGTATTTCCGTTTCAATACCTACTTTTATTATGTCTTCGTGTCCATACCACCACCGTTGTGTTTCCGTATCCAGACCTTCTTCATTTCTTTCCATCTCCAAACACCATGAATTGTCTTCCCGTCTCCTGACCACCTCCAATACTGTCTCCGTTTCCATACCACCTTCAATCGTGTTTCCGTCTCCGGACCACCTTGAATTGTGTTCCCGTCTTCAGATCACCTTAAATTTTGTCTTCGTCGCCTGCCCACGTCCAGTAGCGATTCCGTTTCCATGCCACTTTAAATTGTGTTTCCATTACCAGACCAATTCAACTGTGACTTGGTTGCAATACCACCTCTAGCTGTAGCTCCGTCTACTGACAACCTTCAATTGTGCTTTAGTTTCCAGACCAACTTCGATTGTTTTATGTCTTAAGACCTCTGGCCACCTTCTATTGTGTCCCCGCTTCAAAACCACCTTGAATTGTGTCCCCCAGTCCTGACCACCTTTAGATGTGATTCAGACTCCAGACCATCTTGAACTGTGTCACTATCTCTAGACCACCTTCAATTTTTTTCCGTCTATAGACCACCTTCAACTGCGTTTCCGTCCCAAGACCATCTTGAATTGTCTTTCCGTCCCCTGACCACCTTCATTTGTGTTTCTATTTCCCGACTTACTTGAATTGTGCATCCTTTTCTAAACAACCTTCAATTGGGTTTATGTTTCTAGACCATCAATTATGTTTTCGTCTCCAAACCACCGTGACTTGTTTCTTCGTTTCTAGACCGCCTTAAATTGTGTCTCCGTCTCTAGACGACCTTTAATAGTGTCTTCGTCTCCAAACCACCTTCAATTGTGTGTCCGTCTCCTAACAACTTTCATTTGTGCTTCCGTTTCCAGACTAACTTGCATTGTGTCTTCGTCTTCAGACCTACATCAATTGTGTTTCCGTTTCTAGACCACCTTCAGTTGTGTTGTCGTCTCCTGACCATCTCAATTAGTGTTTTTGTTTCCAAAACACCTTCAATTGCGTTTCCGTCTCAAGACAACTTTAATCTGTGTCTCCGTCTCACGGCAACCCTTGAATTTTTTCACCGTTCTAGGACCACCTTCAGTTGTGATTACATTTTCATACCGCCTTGAACAGTTTCTCCGACACCAGACCACCTTGAATTGTGTTTCCGTCTCCAGTCCACCTTGAATTGTGTTTCCGTCTTCAGACACCTGAAATTGTGTACCCGTTTCCAGACCACCTTCAAATGTGTTTCCGCCCGAAGACCACCTGTAATTATGTTTCCGTTCCGAGACCACCTTCAATTGTATCTCCGTCTCCGGACTACCTTCAATCTTTTATCCGTTGGCAGACCAACTTCAATTGTGTTTACGTCTCCAAACTACCCTGAAGTGTTTCTCCGTCTCTTGACAACCTTCAAGTGTGGTTCCGTCAATAAACCACATTCAATTTTATTTCTATTTCAAGACCACCTGAAAAAATTGTGTTTCCCACCTGTGGCCACCTTGGATTGTGTCTCCAGACAACTGAAAAATATAAATAAAGAAGTAATGTTGAGAAGGGCTGAGTAACAAGAAATGGAATCGCCTTCAAAGTCGACACATTCTTTGTTAGGGGCTCGGGTTCGCTAGCTCACTTTCTTTGTTGTCTTTTTCAAGCCACTTTCCTTGTCTTTAGTGAGACCACCGGCAGTCAACTTCATGCAGACTTAATCGGACCCCCTTATATCTGAAATCGAACTGTAGAAAGTATGCGAACATAAAATCTTACACGTTGCAGTGGATCTTCAGTCATCTACCGTTGATTTTCCAAGGTGTAAAATCAAAGCTGATTGGTCAGAATGACACGGTTCATTCCTTGTATTGGATAAATCCTTAAAGTTTTAAACCATCGACAAATAGCGTTTACTCTTATTCATATCTAAGTATGCTCCTTCTCAAGGATTTTGATAGAAAATCATACTTATTACACTTTAGCGACTGTGTCCATTGATATTGAAATCTAATACAAATGAGGTAAACAGTTTAAATACACGGAAAACAAACTGAACACTAATATTTGTCACAATAAATAAACTGTATGCTGAAAAAAGAAGATTTTTCTATAAAGCCAGCGCAAACCTTATTTTTCATTTGAATAGTTACATAATAGGTTTTGCCTTTTACAGCACTAGTCATTCCTTTAAAATATTGTAAAACGTTTTGAGTATTTTGTCCCGTGTTACAAAGAATGGTTTATTATGTTCTGATTGTTGAAGATAAATCAGGACTCGTCATCAAGGATGTTGATGGTGTGATAGAAACAAGTTGTAATCTACCAGAAAAATACAAATCAAAAGGGTCTAAGATACATATTCAGATTCTGACTAAAGGGCCAAAAACTAAAGGATTTAGGTTACATTATAAAATGTCGGATCATGCTCTTCAAAGATATACTACACATACTACCACGGATGGAAAGATGTTTTCATCAGGTATGTTAGACTGTTAGTTAAATCAAATATATACTTAAATAAAGCGGGTATTGTTGCATCTATACGAAAAATGTTTAAATATCACTTTTTAACCGGACATTTCTTACATTTTTGATGACAGATATATATGTAAAAGGCAAATATTTGATTTGAAGGAAGTTCATTATTTTCGCGGTTCAAAGCATAGTTAAAATTTAAAAAGTGATCAAAGTGATTTAAGTTTTCACTTAAAACCTCACTTTTCATTCTAATAGTGCATTTTTTCCATATTTCTTTACAAAATCGTTCAACACTGCCATTCGTATAACAGTGAAGAAAAAATACTGTATTTAGATATCGCATAATAGTTCGTTTTAAAAACAATAAATTATATTTAATGAAACATGTTTTTTTCCCCTAATAGAATCTTGTTCATGGTTTTTCCGAAAATGCTACACGGTATTATATAAAAGTGTATCCTGGGATATTGCACAAACTGAATGTCTTAATGAAAATAAACATCTTGTGACTATTGCGTCGAAAAAAGAAATGAATTACGTCCAATACTTACTTCGAAGTTTGTTGTATATGCAAAAAATAGGCGCTGATGAAAGAAAACTTCATGGAGCACACATTGGTAATTTCTTAACTTAACGTGTTGTTATGTGCATTATTATCTTTTTATTTTCCTTTTCAACTCTATGTGTGAACGCGCGCGTGTGTGTGTGTGTGTGTGTGTGTGTGTGTGTGTGTGTGTGTGTGTGTGTGTGTGTGTTGGTGCGTGTGCGTGTGTCCGTTCGTGTGTGTGATATCCTATTAAAATGTATTTTAAATATCTAACAGTTTTACAAAAATTGTGCAATGCTCTGCTGTCAGCCCTGGTGACTGTGACATACAAATTCCTGTTTAAGTTTTCATAACGCATTTACTATTGTTTACTTGCAAAGAAAATATGAATTGGTTGAACGTAAAAGTACATTTTTTTCTAAATGTTTAAGTGACATAATATCAGGATGTTTAATAAAATCGGCCAATTTCGTTATCCTCACTATCCATACTGTAACCTTATGTATGTGACTACAAAATAAAATAAACACAAGTTTTATAAATTACGTTGATTTGAAAATAATATCGTAGTGTTAGATAGTTTGAAATATTGTAAGCCCCTACACGTATTTATTGTCGATGAATTACGTAAAATATAAAAATGCTCACAGACTCGAAAAATCAATTATATCTTAACCCCGAACCTTACTAGTAAAGCCTCTCATCTTACTTCATCACGGTTAATTGTCGCAGTCAAGTCAACAATATACTTTCAATAGAGAACAAAAACTACGTTTAGGGGCTTTAAATAGAGATATCATATTTTTACATCTGTATAATACTGTTTTGCCTTTTATCAGGTTTAAGACGTGTAAAGGACAGACAAATGAGAATGAATTTCATATGGGTAAATAACAATAACGTGACCTTCAGCGATTGGTAATATTTTTTCATAGTTTAATGTATCCAATACTTAAAAAGATCAGCTGGTTATACTCAATAGAATTTAATTACAGACAGTTTTAGCGACTTCATGCATTAATTGTTATGTAATACTGGTTACCTATATACGAGAAAAATCAAAATATGAATTCCGTTATTTTGGTCCGATGTTAAATTGTTTAAGAAACCATCCCCTTACCATTTTTCTTTCTTTATGAATCGTCAGTATACCTCGGCCAATGTCCTAGATAAAGGACAATGTTATTTTTCAGTGTTAAACAGTAAAAAGGTATGTTTAATTTGCAATCGGTGAAATATCATAATAATAAAAATAATTATGTCTGTTATAGGTAAAGCAGGTGATGCAATTTTAGCTAGGCCTACTATTGTAGCGGATAAAAAAATTGTTATTTAACGCTTAATTATGTTTTCTATTCAATTGTGTGAAATATCACATTTTGTTATAACCTTTACTCCATATATAATGTAGATAAAGCCATAAAGATGATGAAAGGAATGCGTTCTTAAAAAGTTTCAATAATATATTTTGCCAGTAGTAGAAAGCTACCTTTATGAACTATTCGAAATCTTACTGTAAACTTTTTTGGTACGATAAAACATTTTACGAACGCAACTTTTGATTACCATGCCCATTTTTATTTCAGTATTATATCATATTTCCAATTATTGGATTTACACAATTATATATGTTTAACTTATATAAAGCATTATCATGACAGGAAAAGAAGGCAACCTTCAACTGGGGATTGTACTCGTACCTCATTCGAGTATTTTAACACCGAAGAGAATTGGGAAACAGAAGATTGTTATAATAATTTGGTCGAATTTTACATCTGTGAAAACACCTTTTTAGTGAACACAACTAAACGTATGTGTCATATTTTTCTTTTAACTTAATTTATCGTTCATAGGGATTCCAAAAATAATTTTATTATTTACAAATCGTAATAATATAATGTCTCTATCGTCTTAAATTCTTGCAAACAAGTTGTCCGTCTTGCGATACGGTTATAGCAACGTTATTGATTATTCTTGCATATCGAACTGCTGTTTCCGTTAGTTTTGCCCATGCTGGAATGGGGGCGCAAAATGAGTCGCGTGCAATAAAATGACGCGCTAAGGATGACACAATTTCGCCGTAATGAATGAAGTTGCAATTTCATACGCTGTTGTAAGGAAAAAGATATGGTAGGAATGACATAGATTTCCTTAAATTGTTTTAATAAGGTAAATAATTTAGAATATGATGGTATATGGTAGAATATGCAAGAAAACGATCTGACATATGTTTGCGGTTCGTATCTGAATAATTCGTCCTTATGGAAACCGCCCGCCTCGATACGAATAATTCGATCTCAACCGAAACATTTGTCCTGATATAAAACTTAACAATACTACATTTAAACTTTGCCAAAATTAGGATATAAATAAATTTAATACTTTTAAATAAAATATCTCTCCTGACCGCTTGACAAATAATAATAATTTTTTTAATATAATATCTATTAGAAAAAATGCTTTCCAGGTGATATCATGGAGCAAGATGTGTGTAAAATGTTTGTTAAGAAAGACCTTTTGACATCACCATACTCCGGTAAAACTTGTCAGAATTGGTTGTATCTATCTGACAATGCCAAAAGTGATTTTGACAACAACTTTTCCTCATTAAGAGACACTTTAGAAAATACAACTGTGTGTAAGGATCCGTCTGGACAAGGTGTTTTATGGTGCTTTGTTAGTAACTTTGACAAACCAGTGCGGGAACCGTGCTTTTTGCATCGTACGTAATATACATGTACATTTTATGTCTTCCAAAATTTTTTTCCGAACATGTTTGGGAGAGATATTGTTTTGCCTTCGCCGTATGTGTACGGGCAAACATCAAATGGTCTATGAGCTTCATTCCGCCCATAACTTTAGTTTAAAAAAGGAGGAAATCCCATAAACCGACTGGTTTATGTGCTTAATTCTACTTGTTTGTGTGGAAAAATGCCACATATAGATCAAAGAAAAAGCACATTAACCCTAAATGTCGGCACGTCCGTCCGTCACAACTAACGGGACAGTAATAATGTGGCTAGAGGGACAAAAGGTAACTGTTCGTTCTCTTTGATGTCATTTAATCCGTAATGCTTATAATATGGCTATTTTCTTTTGTGTGGCTAAAAAGAACAATAGAGGGAACAAAAGAGTAAACACATTATTTTTATCCCATGAAAACGTTCCTCTGTCCGTCCGTCTGTCCGTATTAGGTGTGTCCGGCTTTCACGGGTCAAACTACTGTTGGGATTACAACGAAACTTAACAGAAGTGATCAATACCATCTGTAGTTGTGCACACCACCAGCACGTTCCGCTTCGCTGCACGAAATGTCTGCCAGAGCTACAAATAGAAACACTTTTGTCCACCTTTCACCGGTCAAAGCTATTGTGGGATTTCAACCAAACTCTGCAGTACCATCCCTTGTTGTGCACACCAACTGCATGTTCCGCTTCGCTGCAAAAAAATGGCCGCCAGATTTAAAAATAAAATATGTTGTTCAGCTTTGAAAGGGTCAAACTACCGGTGGAATTTGTACCAAACTTTACAGGAGTGATCAGTATCATCTCTTGTTGTGAACATGACCGGCACGTTTCGCTTCGCTGCACAAAATGGCAACAAGAGCTTAGAATATTAAAATTTTGACGATCAAACGTCTGGTGGGATTTTAACCAAACTTAACAGGACTGATCAGTACCATACCTATTTGTGCACATCGCCGGCACTTTCCGCTTCGCTGCACAAAAATTGCCACCAGAGCTAAAAATGAAAAATCTTGTCCGGCCTTCACAGGCCAATCTTCTAGTGGGATTTCAACCAAACTTTACAAGAGTGATCAGTATCATACCAAGTTGTGCACATCGCCGGGACGTTTTGTTTCGCTGCACAAAATGGCCACCAGAGCTAAAAATGAAAAATCTTGTCTGGCTTTCACAGGCCAAACTTCTGGTAGGATTTCAACCAAAATTTACAGGAATGATCAGTACCATCTCTGGTTGTAAACGCAACCTGCACGTTTTACTTCGCTGCATACAATGGCTACCAGAGCTTAAAGTAAAAAATCTTGCGGCTTTCACAGATCAAGCTTCTGGTGGAATTTCAACCAAACTTTAAAGGAGTGATCAGTACCATCTCTTAGTGTGCACATTGCCAGCACTATCTGCTTCACTGCACAAAATGGCCACCAGACCTAAAATAGAAAAATATTGACCGGCGTTCACAGGTCAAACTACTAGTGGGATTTCAACGAAACTTTACAGGAGTGAAAAGTACCATCCTTAATTGTGCACGTCACCGGTGCCTTCCACTGCGCTGCACAAAATAGCCGCCGGCCCTAAAAATTGAAAAATCTTGTCCAGCCTTCACGGGTCAAGCTAGGTTGGGTTGGGTCTCAACCAAACTTTACAGGAGTGGTTAGTACCTACCCTAGTTGTGCACCTTTCCAGTACATCCCGCTTCGTTGCCCAAAATGGCCACCAGAACTATAAATAGAAAAATCTTGTCCGGCTCCCACAGATAGAACTGCTGGTTGGATTTCAATGAAACTTCACAGGAGTGAGTTTACCATCCCTAATTTGTGTTTCGCTTCGCTTTAAAAAGTCAAGCTGCTGATGCCATTTCAATGAAAACTGCACAGGAATGTTCAGTGCTATCCCTAGATGCTCATATCACGGCATTATCCGCTTTGGTGCACAAAATGGCCGCGATAGCTAAAAGTAGAAAACATATTGTCCGGCTGTAACAGGTTATGCTACTGGTGAAACTTCACATGAGTAATCATTTTTTACCATCCAACATGACTGCCACAACTGAAAAACGAAAAGTCATTTCCGACTATCATGGTCGAAGTTAAAAATAGAAAAATAATTTCCGGCTATCATAGGCCAAACTGCTGGTGGGATTTCCACCAAAATTCACGGGAGTTCAGTATCATCCCTAGTTGTGCTTATCACAGCATGTTCCGCTTTGCGGCACAAAATGGCTTTCAAAACTATGAATAGAAAAATTTTGTTCAGCTTTCACAGGTCAAGCTACTGACGGGATTTCAATGAAACTTTTCAGGAGTGATTATTACCATGCCTTGTTGTGCATGTCGCCGAAATATTTTGCTTCGCTGCACAAAATGGCTGCCAGAGCTAAAAAAGAAAAATCCAGCAGACATTTTCACAAACATTTTATCATAAGAGAAATCTTACGATAAATCTCCTTTTCACAAAAAAATCTTAAGCAAAACGTAAGTGCAAAATCTATCGTAACTTAACAATTGGTGTTTCCCGTTCGTAAGTGTGATATGTTTTCTCTTATTATAATAAGAGTAAAATATCAGGTATCTTTTATTTAAACAGAATAAAACACAAAAAATGGACAAATATATATTATTAAGCAAACAGTATGTTATAAATAACACAAATTAAGTTAAAATTATTTTTCAACATAACATTTCTTACGTCATGACTTGATGACGTCATGGTGGAGAGGGTTATGAATAGTTTATATGTGAACTCTGTACAATTATTCTTGATAAATAATGTTTTGTAAATATTTGGTGGGTTCAATTTTATTGCCAGCATGTATTAGTGGCACCTTAATATTTATTAATACCTTAGCAATAACGTAACAGACTTTGTTTCTGAATTACTTAGATCATTACAATTATTTTCAATCAGGATACAAAATATATCACTTTGAATAATTTGTTTCTTATTATTGTAACTTGATTTTGTTTAATACATACTCCAATCTATGTATTACTTGGTTTTAAACTGGAAACAAATATAGAGCATGCACATCAATATCAAATGACCAAGGAAAGTTTTTATTAAAAGATTTATCGTAAGTGAATTATTTATCTCAAGATAAAATTTAACCAGCGCGGGGCTTTGTGAAAATGACTAAAGATTTAACTTACGATTATCGTAAGTCATACCCTGAAGATAAATCGTAAGATTTTTGTGTGAAAATGTCTGCTGTCTGGCTATCTCAGGTCAAACTGCTAGCGGGATTTCCACCAAAATTCACAGGATACAGAGTTTTGAGAGACATATGTTTTTGTTGCAAAAACCCTTCTGTTTTTATTTAATATTAGTCTGACAAAAGAAATTATAATACAATTAGATTTACTATACATTGAAGATACTTTTTTCATATCGAAGTCGATATTGTTCTGTTTTGTACCCATGACGCAATACCATTTTACTTTTTTTTCTTATGTAGCGAATTGATTGATTTACCGTAATTTTCAGGTCATATTAATAAGCGTTACGAAATGCTAATTTAAAGGAAATTGAAACACGTGTCAAGAAAATAAATGTGTCAATTTAGACAATACAGAATACGAGTTTTGCATTGATGTATTATAAAAAATGTCGAAAAACATTAACAGCCATGTTTAGTTTCGTATTATTTTCCAAAAAGATTGGAATGCATAAAAAGTGTTTAGATATATTATATTTTTCATTTACCCTTAAGTCGAAGATAACCTATCTATGCCCGAAAAGAGGGTACCAGAGACAAAATGCGCCGATGGATCTTCAATACCTAAAATAAATTGGTGTGATAGGACCTTTGACTGCATAGACTTTACGGATGAATTGTCATGTCAGAACAGACTTAAAGGTTTGCATATCGTTTTTATTATCTAAAATATGATACTGTTGTTCTTAAGTAAAGTTTCTATGGTGTATATGAAAAGTGTGCTGCTTACTTTTGAACAGTTAGAAACTTCGTGCCGCGCCGCCACTTATAAGCGTGTTTTCGCTCCATGCCCCTTTTTTATTGTTTTTATTTCGCTCCGTGCATCCCCGCGCGGCGAATTTTATTTATTTAAATTTGCCCTTCGCCCCAACTTATAACCCCCTTTCCCTACCAGTTCAAATAGTAAATTCTCTAGAATATCTTGGCTGGATCGCGTGCGAATATTTATTTATTTAACTTCGCCCCTCGTTCACGCTCATAAGTGTGCCTTTGCATGCGCCCCGCCATTTTAACTTGTTAATTCCTGACTTTTCGCAAGGCGAAACAGACGAATGGCACAAATCAGCCACCATAATACCCACAACTTTTGTCACCAATTTTATTGTGTACCACTTTTTACAATGGAGCTAGACTACAAATATATTTATGAACATGTTATAACAAAATCAATAATACACAAAAACACGATAAATTCGTGCATGTGTTTTACAGTGCACCGAATTTTTTTGTTCAAAAATATGTTCGGAACTTTTTTATCTTCTTTTGTGATATACAACAAGTTATAAAATTGTATGAAAACTTTAAAAGCAAAAAAGTTTGTTTAAAAATATAAAAACAACATCGATTATTAGCACGTTTTGTAACCTGGGCAAAATTTGATCAGCACTAGCTCTTCTGTTTACAATGTATTGATAATAAACATTATGATAAACATAGTTTACCTTCCTTTTTAGGTTATTTATACAGTTTTTCTATTAATTGATTGTTCGCATAATATTATATAGATCCAATTCTTATTAGAAAAGCTTTTAAAATTATTTGATAAACAAGCAGAGAAAAATGCATATGATTCATTGTACCTCAAAAGCTCAATTGAGCACAAAGTGCTCAGGGCATGTGAATGAAGTGTGTCCATTGTCCATGGTTAGTCATAATTTCTTTAAACATCATTTCCACCTTAACCAATTGGTTAACCATTCGTAGGCGACCCTGTTCAGCATTTGTTTAATTGATTTCAAGCCTGATTCATAAGTAAAACAGAGAAACAAGAGCTTAATGTTCATTCTTTAATAGTCCTCTTCTCTAAAACGCAATCCAAGTACTTTCCTTACTTACCAATAACCCTCGAAAGTTCTAATGGCATTCCAACTTCAGTACCAACAATAATTTTTACAACAAGGATTCATTCATTAAGAGCCATTTAAGTCAGGTGAACGATATTTGGGCCATCATGAGTCGTTAAATGCTTCAAATTATGTTTTATTTAAGATCATGATCTCGCAATTATTGGCAAGGCAATGATGCAATCTAATTTACCCAAACGACTCAAACCCGAGGCATATTTCACCTGTGAACATAGCAAAGAGTGGATATCTACATTAGCAAAATGTGATAACGTCATAGATTGTCTTGATGCTTCAGACGAAGTCAATTGTTTTAACGGTAATATTGGTATTTTTACTTTTAATTTGCATGTTTCAATTAATTTTTCTATTTACATTTAGAATTTAAGAAAGGATTTAAAACGGCCAACATAGGAGACTTCCGGTATATATTATTTATTCTGCATGATGTTAACTACTTATACATATATCTATGTCAGTTTCATATGTACAGGAATGTTTTTGTTATTAGTTAGTTCATACACACGCACAAAATCACACGCACATAAACACATGCGCGCATTTACTTTAAGCTAAATCAAGTGTCTCAGCAGTGACTTGGCGTTTGTTTTTTTATTTACACTATCTCTGTTTTGTTTCGAATACGAACTAACTATGAAGTTTATCATGCAACTGCTTTGGTAACTGCGGATAAAACTTTATAAGTTAGTAACCTGACATATCAAAACTAACCTCGCCTATTTCAACGGACTTGTTTCAATAGCTTTTATTAGCTCACCAGAACCGAAGGTTCAGGGCTAGCTATTAGTATCAAAGGGGGATGCTCTGGCGTCCGTCGTCCGTTAGTCCGTCGTCATGCGTCAACAATGGTTTTCTTTTCTGAAACTGCTGGGCAGATTTACTTCAAATTAGGTTTTATTGCTATGTTGGCTGATTTACGCCATGTCGTGTTTTCTCTTCTTTTTCTCCAAAACGCGAAAATGCAAAAACCCCAATTGGTCGTCTCTTCGTGTTTTCGCTTTTTCGAATTTTCAAGGCAAAACGAGAAAAATACGGTCAGAAGAAAAGCTAATATACGAGACGTAAAACCTGTCGTATATTTGATGTTTGATATTGATGTATTTTGAGTTTTTTGCATTGTTGTTTTTTTTTGTTTTTGCTTGTATTTATACATTTTCGTAAATCCGCCTGTAGCAATCATGTTCATATGTGATTAACATATCATCTACAAGTACATTCGAATGATTCAATCACATTTTATGAAAAGAAACAATGTCAAGTATGCATCAATGCAAAAATGTAACAATGTGAAGAAGCGAAAACACGACAGATGGAATGCGAATATACGACAGATTTTGTGTGTCGTATTTTCGCCCTTCTTCTGTCGTATTTTCGCTTTTTTTTGCCTCGAAAATTCGAAAAAAGCGAAAACACAAGAGTCCAACTTTGCCGTCTCTTTGTGTTTTTGTGTGAAACAGTCAACATAGATTGCCGTTTTAACTTTGATTGGAACTAAAATAATTTTAAACTATGAATTTGACGTGTCAAGGAGAATATTGCAGAAAAGTTTATGTGATTTATAGACCATGGATATTTTTTGGATCGATTTTCATAGGTAAGAAAAACTTGAGTCGAAAGTGAAATTTCCCGCCAGTTACAAAATCTTAGTTTCAGGGGCGGAGGAATTTGTATTCCTTTTTCTTTAACAAAAATATCCCTTTCTACAAAATGCTCTTTTTAAAAGTAAATTATTTTGTAGTGTTGATAAGTTTTATGTGTTGCATGATAAAAAGAAAAACAAAAAGTACAAAACTGTATAATTATTCTTAAATGCCCGCATATCAAGTGAAGGGCGCTGCTATCAAAGAAATGTCATACGCATTCTTAAATGCATTAATTCTGTTACTTTCTTAATAGCTAACCCTTTCGCTGCCAGAGGGTTATTGTTTTATTGTTCACCTATTTGCCAGAGGATTTTCTAAGAAATTACTATATCATTAATAAATATAATTATTATTATTTGTTATTAGTATTATAATAATTATATATGTTTCCAAATCAGTTAGTATAATAATAATTATTGTCGATGGTATAATTTTCTTTATATTTATTATTATTATTATATTATTATTATTATTAATAATAATTTATTATTATTACAATTAATATTGTAGAAACGGCTAAAACCGTCCATATGGCAAATACGCCGAAAATTACAGGGACTACAGCCGTCCCTATGGCAGTGAAAGGGCTAATAACATGCCAGCTCTCATTTGATATGCAGAGACTTGCCATACCCTTTCTGTCTTTATCAGCCAAGCCTGATAGAATTGATATCAAAAGACAGTATCATGTTTTTCTATTTACAATGTAATACATGAATACTGTCAAAATGACAAAATAATCTACTTTTAAATAACAAATTTTGTAGAAAGGGGCACTTTTGTTCAAAGAAATAATTCTTGGCAACTAATTCCTCGGCCACTGGAACTTATTAGTTTACTTACAAACTTACTAATTTGTAATTGGTAGCCATTTTTGTTTCCTTTCGGCTCGAGATTATGTCCTTTGATAAGAGATGCAGCATAATGCAACATAAATAAAGAAATATGATTCATACCTTTAAACGTCGATCCAAAAATATCCCTACTACTACTATTTACATTAACTTTACTTTCCGGAATTGCCAGTGATCCACAACTACCATACGAATTGTTTCACACTTTTTCCATTCAATATTAAATTCAAAATTTCACCATATTTTCCGTTTCAATCAAAGAAAATTCAAATCGACAATTAAACACAAGGTACACAAACACGCCTCTTATTTTCTGAACGAAACCCTTCGCCCACTTATTTAATTAATAATAATCTGATCAAACAAAGTAAACATAAATTTACAAGTTCTCCAAGAAAATCCATAGATAGCATGTTTGTAATGTTTAAAATATGACGCAGACATCGATATGGTCATTTGCGAAATAAATTATGACATCACTTTATTAAGTTAGTGTTTAACTATTTGCTATCTTATTTGTTCGTAATTGAAAACGAAATAAAAACAATAAAATGACATATTGATTCGAGACTTGTAAGGGTATGAGATAAAATTTTAGAGACTCAAAGGCTGATAAAAACGAAAATGTAAGCTATTGAAAAATGTCATTTGAAATAGGCTGGAAATATTTTTGATATCAGATGACTAACCTGACATCAAAATTAATTGACAGCAATTGTTATCGGACAAATATTATAGCAGTTACATGATAATATTTTGTAGGATGTGATGACAACGAATTTTCTTGTGATGGCGGACATTGTATAAAATTTAGTCACGTATGCGATTTTATATCCGACTGTGCGGACGGTACAGATGAAAAATGTGGTAAGTAGTAAAATAAGAAGTATGAAAATTAATAAATTATTAGATTGCTAGATTTTTTTTCTAGGTGTCAGGTCTTTAAGATTATATTTAACTTTTCTAATACAGTGTAGCTGGCCTATAACGAAGTTCTAGGGAAACGGCAAATGATTTTTTTATATAAGAAATTCGTATGGACATAATGCATATCGTTAAGGTAATTGTTATTATTGTTTAAATACATTTTTATATAAGCATAATGAAAACTGACATAATAAAAACTAAACAAAAGTGCCGATAAGGGTTATTTTAGTGATACATTGAAAACTTACATATCTTACAGCGATATGTCATCAATAATACTTACATGAATCAACAGTTAAATTACTAAATAACAGGCTATTTTATAATTACCAAACAAATTTGAATTATAATCAAAACATGTTCTATACGAGTATAACATTGGGAAAATATTATTTCATATAAAGATTAAAAAAAAACTTTTTTGTGTTACTAACTTGCATGTCAAATTCAAAGCCCAATTTGTTTCTTGCATGTTTAACTGTTACTACATATTGATTGTTTTGCCAACATTGCAGATTTCCAAAAGTGTGATGAAAATGAATTTCGTTGTAACAATGAACAGTGTATTCCATCAGAAAATCGATGCAATTCTAAACCTGACTGTTTGGATAAAAGCGATGAAGAAAACTGTGGTAAGTATACAATATTATATACTATACAATTCAACTTAAAGATAAGTAAATATGTCTTATTTAAAAAAAAGAACGTATGAACTATGTATGGGAATCTGCATTCGTTAATACAACTGAAAGTGGTATTTTCTAAAAAACTGCCAGATATTTTAATGTCACTTTATTTTGATAGTGTGTCCACTTATTGTGTGCATGACTTAAAACATAACATATATCTTTGTATAAAGTCAAAACAGGTTTATTTCATATACATAAACATACCATGTAGTAATTACCAATATTTTCAAATATCAAATTTGAGCATAGTATATCTTTAAGAAAATTCATTTAATAATGTATATCACTTACAAATCGGGCAGAGTGATTAAGAACGACTTACCTAACTTGACATTAATTAAAATGATTAAAAAATACCATCAGTCATAAAGTATTTTTTTAAATATTGCGTGAAGAAATATCGCATTAAACATCATTTTTAGGAAGTGGAAAATATTAACAAAAACATTTTTTTAATAAAACATTCCTACAAATGACAAGTATGTTAATCACTATATATGTACTGGTTTCTTATTTAAAATGTAAGAATTGTTTAAAATATATTATCCGTAAACATCAAAAAGGGACGAAAACGATTGGTTTTTCGTCGTTCCAGTACAGTATAGATCGTATGGCGACTTTCAAGCTTCAATTCTTGAGGAAGAGCTCAAGTGCCCTTCAGTGATTTATTTTAGACACGAACGGGCACCTGAGTAGAGCCAGCGAAATTCGGTATCGAAATTCGGTTATCTTGCTCACGGTAGGGAATCACGTGACTTTTACGGTTACGCGTACAGACAATATGGCGGCATAAAAACCTCGCTTCACGTGTGTTTTTCAGGTAATTCTTTATTATATCCTTTTAACTTACATACGAGACCTGTTGCAGCCTACGCGGAATAAAGAATTGTTGCCGCCTATACCTTATTTTTCACCCCTGTCCTCATAGCTTTTACCAACACTCAAAAATTCAACAGGAATTTTCAATGTTGACATCTATTTTGCGGGTAACATTCACGCAAAATTTGTTTTTTTTATGAATTTGATTTAACTACGTCGAGTTAGCTAAGAGAAAATGTTCATAGAATTTCTTTATTTGAAAATGTAAATATTAGGCATGTTAAATGTTGACTGGTCATTTTCTATTCCAAAACACGAGAGAAAAATGATTTGGGTAACGGCCACGCATACTTTTATTGTTGATAACTCCCACGCAATATTTTATATGCAAGCAATATCTATGCAGGTTATAGCCTAGATATTGATTGAACAAATTCATGATTGATGCATATAGCCTTAAACGTTCATAGAATTTTGAATAATATTAAAAATACCGCCAAAAGGTCCTGGATAAAATTAACCCAGCAGGCACATAAACGTTGAACAACATTGAATTATGGTCAGATTTTAACGTTGAAGTAACGTTGGATTTATGTTCGGATTTGAAAGTTTAAACAACGTTGAAATTCAACGTTGGCACAATGTTGAAGTTTCAATGTCATTTCCAAATACTTTATTTTTAATGTAAAGCAAAGTGTTTAACAAATAAATCAATACACTATTAAATACTTCGGATATTTTATTTCAAAAATACAGTTCAAGTGCAGCTTAGATTCTAACGATTTAAGAAGTCCTTTTAGCTACAATTAAGCTACAATCTGTTCCACTCTACTACTAGTACTTCTTCCAGATCTCTCCTGGTATGTCTAAAGTGGTTTATTATGGTGTTTGAATACTTCTTTGGCTGTCTCTTACTGCTTCTGCAAATAAAATAAGAAGTTACTTATTAAAAGTGACATGGTCAATCTCAAATTATATATATAATTACTCAACTTAGTGATATGTTTTATCTTAAAATGATTATCTCTAAAATTTACATAATAAAACAGCATAGAAATTAAGATACAGCTGAAGTTTCATATTGACAGAAAATTATGTACGTAAAACAACAATTTTGTTTTTTAAAGAATCTATTTAAAAGTCTCACATATGATTGGTAAGAAAAACTGCTCTGCAGCATTTTACCTAGAAATAATCATTCTAGGCTCTATCTACGACCATTGTATGCAGCATCCTGAAAACAACAAAAATGTAAATTTTATTGTAATAATGTTACAAAAGTATTCTGAAAATAATATACATGTATTATTAAGACGAGATAAATGTCCAGTAGTTGCAATAATAATACTTTGTAAAGAAATATATATATATATATATATTTAAATATAAGAATTTCAATTGAACAAACCTGACAGTCCTTTCCATGTTAAATGTATGGTATACAAGTTACAGCTGCAATACTCTCAATTTCAGCCAGGACCAGGATCTAGAATATAAAAGAGGAATTTATTATTCCCTATAAATTCACGGCAATTAAGCTTAAAATTTAACACTCAAGAACAGTTTAATCAATATTTGTTTCGATAATGCAATAGATATAATGTATTTTTCAAACTAATTCACACTTAATTTTACTATCACTAAGATATAAATACAGCTAGATTGACGGATCGTCTTGGGACGTACATGATATGGGCCGAACAACACTTCATTTGCTTATATGTAGATAAGGTTAAATTAAGCCAAGTTCTCTTTTTATAATAAATACGGTAGTTATTTCCTTCAAAGGCCAAACCAAATCTTTTGTGGTGTTATGTGTTCATGTTTGTCTTTGTTCCTTTTGTTATGGGTGATTGAACTGGTTTTGCAAGTTGAGTGATGGATGATTGATTTTGTATGAAAGTTATTTTTAGTTGATTTGGTTCTGGAATGTAATATTTTCTTGGTAACTGACCACTCCTTGTCTCGCTTTCGAAGTGAAAAGATCTAAAATATAGTTTACTTTCAGTTATTTCTTTATAGAAATAACTTGCTTCTTATTTATATTATAACATTAGATTTCTTCTTACAAAGCCTGGTTTTATACTTTATAGAATAAATCTATAAACCTCATTGAGTGTTGATTTAACATAAACTACATATAGGTTACAATAATATGATAAATAAATTTCAAAAAGGCATGACCTGTAAAATCACAAATTGCCAAGCACACCAATAACTTCGCGTAAGGCCTGCCAAACCCAAATCATTCTATTAGGTCGCGCTTTAATACAAAAGTCTCAAATATTAGGAGGTTTTGTATTTCTGTTTTAGTACAATTACAGCTGACATTTTTTTTTCATATTTTGCAGAAATGAAAGTTTCCAGCTCGGATATTGCTTGTAAAAAATGTGGGAAACATTTCATTCCCAGAATGACCACATCGGCACAGGACATTATAAATGTTGTGGTAAAACATTTTATAGCCCAGCAAATCGTAAACGTTACGGGTTTTACTGTTAATATTAAGATGACATTTAAAGAAAAGTCCTCAAGATTTTATTACCTTGTTTGCAAAATAAAAGACCCATTCTAATATTCTTTAGTTTGTTTTTTTTTTTGCTTTAGATATTAAAAAATACATAATTATGTTACATACAGACACTAATTTTAAAAATAACTGGTTACATAAGTGATAAAATGATGTGAATGTCTTGAAAATCTTAATATTTACAGCAAAATGCCATACCTGTGACAGTTCGATTTGCCACAACGTTAACAAGGTCCTGTTCCGAGTAGCCAGTTAATGTGGTCATTTAGACCTGTCCGTAAACGAAATGTTTTCCAACATTATCCACAAACAATATCCGAGCTGGAACCGTCCATATCTGCAAACTATAAAAAATGACAACTGTAATTGTGCTTAAACTGAAATCGACCTCCTTCTTATATTTGAGACTTTTTTTAAATTTCTGCAATTAATTCATCTATATCTCTATATCAATTCTTCATTTAATATATTTACGTGAGTATGTATTCTGCTACCCTTAGGCGCTTAATTCTATCCAGGACCTTTTGGCGGTATATTTAATATTATTCAAAATTCTATGAACGTTTAAGGCTATATGCATCGATCATGATTTTGTTCAATCAATATCTCGGCTATAGCCTGCATAGATATTGCTTGCATATAAAATATTGCGTGGGAGTAATCAACAATAAAAGTATGCGTGGCCGTTACCCAAATCATTTTTCTCTCGTGTATTGGAATAGAAAATGACCAGTCAACATTTAACATGCCTAATATTTACATTTTCAAATGAAAAAATTCTATGAACATTTTCTCTTTGCTAACTCGACGCAGTTTAATCAAATTCATAAAATTAAAATACAAATTTTGCGTGAATGTTACCCGCAAAATAATTGTCAACATTGAAAATTCCTGTTGAATTTTTGAGTGTTTGTAAAAGCTATGAGCACAGGGGTGAAAAATAAGGTATAGGCGGCAACAATTCTTTATTCCGCGTAGGCTGCAACAGGTCTCGTATGTAAGTTAAGGGGATATAATAAAGAATTACCTGAAAAACACATGTGAAGCGAGGTTTTATGCCGCCATATTGTCTGTACGCGTAAACCGTAAAAGTCACGTGATTCCCTACCGTGTTGCTGAAAAGCTCACACACATAAAAGAATCCAAAGTGCCTGTCGGAATGATTCGAACCAACAGCGTTGAGGTACAAAAATCGATTTTGCAAATCTAAATTTTGAAGAAGCAGTAATCATCATGTTACAATTACTTAAATTTTGTTTCAAATACAGTCAAATGTAGTCAAATACATTGAAACTCTTCATTTACATTTTATATATGAAATGAAAAAAATATAATGGACTACGATTTTTGCAAAAAAAAAATGAATATAATTGTTATCAAGGTTCATAAACATATCTTTTCTTTCAATTAAAAGAGTCTTGCACAAATTCATTTCTGTGTTCTGGTGATTACAAATGTATCCCTCTTCGTCTGACGTGTGATCTCTACCCTGACTGTACGGACAGCAGTGATGAATTAACTTGCCGTAGTAAAATTCCAACATCTGCTGATTTAAGGAATGAATATGTTTCTCTGGTAGATTCGAAAGGTGAGCAAAATTCATATATCAAGTTATTATGTACTCAAAATCATCTTATTTTCGTCTTTTGTTTTTGTTGTTTAGAAAGTGCTCAGAACATTGAAGACAAAAGCATGAATAAACTTCATAGTATCTTTTATAATGGAATTTGAGAACTAAACATCCTATTTTCATCCGTTTTCTACATAAATATTTTGATGCATTTACATCTATATCTTATAGATGAAAGTTATGATCAAACATAACTTTTTTTTAAAATGCAAATTTAAATGGAACTTTCCCTGTTAAGTATATATCGCAAATTAAACTTAAGATAAACACGATTACTGACCCACATTGTTATCATGACATTCATCTATCAGTAGTTTATAAAGAATTGAAAGACTTCCCACAGTCGAAAAGAAAAATGAAAAAAAAGAAAAATACCGACATCAGCAAAATAAAAAGTAGCATAAAACACTTTTGTTTTATTACCAATAATTTTTATGTTGACAAAACAAATCTAATCATCACTCACGCTAGGGTTTTTACACTATTTCTTTATGCTGAAATTCACTTTTTAAGTTTCTTTCGAAATGCTGGTACCTTACCGGCAAGGACATGGTTAATGACCATGTTTTGACTATACCTATTTTTTTCAAAACATATAAAAGGATAATTAAAGCCACATATCATTGCGTGTTTATTAGTCTTATCTTATTTGTAAGCATTGTATGGCTTATCAATTGTTATTGGCCATTTTTTCTGTACATTGCTCTTATGTCAAATATTTTTTAATCTGCAAAGCGTTATTAAGTTGCGAAGCAATCGTTACATAAATGATTTCGAATAAGACGCATGATTTTATTTTTTGTACTTTTTTATCCTGCTTACAAGTACAAGCACATAAAGACATTCATGTACATCGGCTTAACACTTCGTGACAAATCTTTAATTTCTTGCATTGATGCAAAATATTACTTTTTTATTTTTATTTTTTTTAAATGGAAAAACATTTTTTACTCTAAACAAATAATGGACTCTTCAACTGTCTGATTTAATGACAATGGGTTGCTTACTGGAACAAAATAATACTAATAATAATACCACATCTAGCCAAAACAAAAACAAAACAAAAAACGCACATGTGACCTCGCTTTACTTTATCAATAGATAAGTCCTGTATTTTAATGGATTTAGAAACAAGTTTTACATTATAAAAATTAAAAAATGATACAGCAAACTTATTTGCCTATTTCACTACATACAACTTTAGAAACGACTTTTATCGCCACAACACGTAGAAACTTTCAGAAGTGATCACTCGGAAGCTTCAATCGCAACAAAATTACATGAAAATTGCAAACTCGGTTTGATTGAGTCCGTACATGAGGGGAAATGAAAAAGTGCAACATCCCTCACGCCCCCTTGCACGAGCGGTTCTAAATTTTCAACACTAAGCCAACTATTCGTCAAAGAAGCATTATATTTGGTCTTTCTCAAGGAAAGATTACACAGATGCAGTGTAACACCATTCCTTCACAGCCATTTGGGGCATGCGTGAAACCTCTATTCGGTTAAAGGATGCGACTTGCTTCTTGCCATTTGTCTTTTTTTCTAAACAGATCAGCTCTTTATATTTTTATTTCAGTCAAACAAAATAATAGTATTATTGTCGTCAAAAATAAATATCTATACTTTCAAGATTTCATGTTCATCTTATATATTCTTATGTGCTGTCGTGTTCACATAGGAATAAATAAAGCAATTTAAGTGAATATCGTTCTGATCAAGGTTATTTCAACATACACAATAAAACTGTCGATAAATATTAAAATTTCAATGTTTGTGTTAAAAAATCTACTACAATGTCTTTAAATTGACTAGGATTAACATTTATTGTAAACTATCCTATCTTTGATCCTTTTTTAATTTATGTTCTTGCAGGTAAAACTCATCACACACAGATCCTCATGAATATTTTAACAATTTATCTTTGAGTGTCACTAAAATTGAGATAAGTCATTAGTTAAAAATAGAGATAATAATAAGTTCAATAGCATAAAACAGCCAGCTGAATGTTTCCTTTTTTAGCCATTTTGAAAAGACGAAATTTCCCCAAGAAGGAACAAGTAGAGAGATCTTGAGTTTTTATCTAGAACAAAGGTATCCAAGTATCGTCTTATAATGTAACAAAGCATGTGATTGATACGGCGGTTGGTAACCGGATACCATCATCAATGGACTTGTTTGAACATTTACAATAAAACATAAGTGTGAATTAGACCTTAAGTCCATTCACCAGAACTTGTTCTGAAGTACCACAAATTTAGATAAAAGTATAACTACTTTTGTGAAATCTAAATGCTGAAACCTGGCCAAGTTGGAAAATTGCAATTTTCTTCTTTATAAGGAGAAAGGTTTTGTTCCTGTGTATTACTTTCGACGACACCTAAAAAATATTGATGAAAAAATAAAATCGAATAAATTACAAATTTACCTGTGTCCTTTATAACCTATCAACGAATGACAGAACTGATGACCAGACACGACATGCAATGTAATTTCATAAAAAACTATTTAGACGAAAATTCTGTGTATTTTTGCATAATAAACTTATTGATTAATTAATTGAGTGAGTGAGTGAGTGAGTTGGTGAGTGAGTGAGTGAGTTGGTGAGTGAGTGAGTGAGTGAGTGAGTGAGTGAGTGAGTGAGTGAGTGAACTGTATGAAGTTTGAATGAGACATTACTGAAGGTTTGGAAGATATACTTCGGACAAGCATAATTTTACATTTTAAAGTATCAAAAACTTAGATGATTGAAAACTTAAGGATATAACATGTATGATTCTTTGAAACTGCACTTAATTTTACTGTAATGTATCACTGTGTAAACTTTTAGTAAAATTCCTTCAACACTTATCAAGATATTCTTGGAACAAGCATTATTAAATATAATAAAGGTAAATTATTTAAAAACTATGCAGTTTTGGTTCTTTGACGCTGCACTCCTAATTTTGAGTCTCTACAAATGTAATTCAGTCAAATCATTGATGTATGACGGTATATTTTAACATGTAAATATATATATTATTAAACGTGTGTATACAAATAAAACGTTTATCACATTTAATACTGAAAAGAATTCACAAATAGTACATTTGAAGACAAAATAACACTTTACATTAACAATTATGTACAGACTGAACCTTCACTATACATTTTCTTTGTGGTTTGTTTATTGTAACTGTATATACATCACGCCGAGAGTTTGAGAATTGAGTACCGCTCAAGCCGGTGCTAGGGGGCGTGAGGGATGTTGCACTTATTCATTATCCCTCATGTACAGACTCAATCAAACCGAGTCTGCAAATTCTCTTGTAATTTTGTTGTGATTAATGCTTCCGAGGGATCACTTTGTTTCCAGATTTTTATACTTCACAACAGCAGGTGTCAAGTGTTGTGTGGCACCTGTAAAATGTTGCCCCGTACTTCACTTCAGTGTTGTTATATTTTTCTGGTCCTTCGGGATCATTGATGTTAGCAATATTGAGTGTTAAGAATTGAGTACCGCTCAAGCCGGTGCTAGGGGCGTGAGATGTTGCACTTATTCATTATCCCTCATGTACCGACTCAATCAAACAGAGTCTGCAATTCTCTTGTAATTTTGTTGTGATTAATGCTTCCGAGGGTTCACTTTGTTTCCAGATTTTTGTATACAAATAAATTATGGTCTCTTGTGTTCAAATTATCACTTATAATACTTATTGATTGATTGTTTTATGATATGATATGCAAAAATAGGTTGCATTCATTAATAGTATATTTGTTTAAACAGCACTGATATGTGAGAGTGATCTCCACTATTTGCTATTAATATAAACATTGTATACACAGTCGTTGTATACATCCCACCTAAAGTTTGTTACACTTGTATTATTTTGTTAGCCCAGGTATAGATCAAGGTCTTTCAATGTCGAGATTCGTTTGATTTCGGTGGAAACTTCATCTCTAGCTGAGACTCCAGGGACAACGATTTTTATAAGAACATTACCATCTGTCGACCAGCCCGAAATAATTTTACAGTCCTTGGCTAATTTACGTGCCTCGTATAATTGTTTCGAATGGATAGAAGTAAGATGTTCGTTAATAAACGTACCGCGTGTGTGTGCGTGTGTTTGGTATACAGCTTTTGTCGAGCCAGATATGTGGCATTTAACAAGAATATCTCTTGGCCCATCAACTTTTGGTTTGCCCGTTCTATGGCATCTATCAATCTCGGACAGCGTTATGTCTGCTTTAAGGGTATCGCATAGGTCCATTACTACTGTATCTATAGATTCATGTGGCTTTTCAGAAACACCAGAGATGCGCAAAAAGTTGCATTTCGAATACTGATCATCTGCGTCGTGTTGTCTTTCTAGTTCGGTAATACGGTTCTCCAGATCAATATTGGCTTTCTTGAGCATTGTGTTTTCATCTCCAAGATGTATAATACGTGATTGTTACCCAGTGACTACCCCATCAACGATTTTTGTTATTGTTGCCTCCATAGTATTTTTAATGTTAGCTTGGATTGTGTCAGACAACGCGGCAGCAATAGCTTTTATTGCATCCTGATCTAGGTATATATTAGCAGGAGTACACTCCATGATAGGCGTTTCTAGTAAACAAACTTTTTGCAATTTCGAATCCGCTTCAATTTCTTGGGAGGATAGCTCTCTCTGTCTTGGATTAATTTTTCCAATATTGGTGTTCTGGTTATCAGTAACCTTATTTTTGTAGTGCAGTACCGAAATCTATGTGTGGGTGGTGGCGGCTTGTGAATTTCGTGCAAAATTCTCGGGCAAAATTTAGAACATCATGTATTAATAATTGTCAAGTCAAGTGATTTGAAACTTTTTCTATAGATACGCTAAGATATGTCACAGCAAAGTCATATTGTACCTTTTCTCACATCCAAAATCCAGCAAAATCCACGAAAATTGGTTTAAAACATATACATGTGTATTTCACTTGGTCGGTCATATAAACAAACTGACCGCCATATTAACCAGAAGTTACAGTTCAATGATCTTGAATGGTCAATACTACAAATAGGGAATTCAAATGAAAGTGCTAGCCGATTTCCCTCTCTTATCCAACAACTTGTATCATATTTGAACCTATTTAGTCTTGAAAGCTATTA